AATATATTTATTATATAATAAATTATATAATAATATAATATATAATACAAATATTTATTATAAAATAAAAATAATCAAGCCATTTATAGGCACTCTTGGGCTACTGATTATGATAAACCTGTAGGTACATTCTCCTGTATTTAGAACAAGGGGAATATGGAGTAGCTGTGTGGTGGCTTTTTGGCATGTGCCAATCTTCAATGACTTCCATCACCTACTTTTAAGTTACTGAGGTACCTGCAGTGTATTTTGTATTCATTGTGTCATGGTTTTCCTTTCCTGCCACAGAGAAAGCTGTTGCTTATTTTGAAACTACTGACCAAATTGGGGACAATGAAGAGGACCTCCTGCTTCAGAAATCATCTTGCAAAACATTCTGCCATTATGTAAACGCCATCACTACAGCACCACGGAGCATCGGGAAGGATGGCAAATTCCAAATTCTGGTTTGCCTTGGGACTAGGTACCTAGCAGCATTCTTCATGGGGGAGAGGGGGGAGGGGTCCTTCTGTTTTCAAATGCTCAGTTGAAGAATATTATATCCTCCTTACTTAGTGACTTAATTTACGCTGATAAACAATTGTGAACATAAGCTAGCTGACTGGTTTTGTTTTTTGTTGTGTTTTTTCACCCTCTGCTCCCTACCCCAATATATAGCCTTAAGAGCACAAGAAGAATCGCAAAAAGATCAGGTTTCATTAAAAGAAAACCCTAGTGTTTAAACTTCTGGAAGATATTTTCATCCCTATTTTTAACTACATAGATATCTATACATAACCCTCTCTCTTTTTAAGTGACATCTTTCACTAAGTACAGGTACTAATTTGAAGTTTGCTGAATAGAGGAAGTAGTCCACTTCTTCATCCTCCTCAAACTCCCACCCCCCTTTTTTACTAATCAGCCAGGTGGAAATGGTACACAGCTACCTTCCCCTTGATGAAACCTTGCTTGTTATTTCTTCTTCCTTTTGTCTTTCTAGATATTTTATAAAAAATTGGATCTTGCCGATATAGATTTCCTGGACACTGCTCTTTTTGCTGCTCACTTGAGAATTTAATAGAATCTGTTCCTAGGTCATTAATCCAACTTCACTAATCTCTTCTCTGCCTCTGCTCTCCACTTTCCACCCTTAAAAAAAAAAGCATTATGCTACTTGCAGCAGGGTCATGCATTCATATTAATATGAAGAGTCCCACTTCCATGGGAGGGTTTTCAGTGCAAACAACACATCACGCATGCAAAATTAGGCAGTGCTTCAGCTTGTGTTTTTGTTTGAGAAGAAGTGGTGTTGTGTTTTGTTTTTTTTAATTAAATTCTGCTGTGGTTCATCCTAAAATAATCCCGTTCTTCTCTCTTCAGGGATCACTTGCTCCTTCACTGGATTCCACTGCTGGCAGAATGCCCTGCCATTACAAGGATGTATGAGGAGAATGCCCTCCTGCGAGACCGCATGACTGTCAACTCCCTCATCAGAGTCCTACAGACATTACAAGATTTCAACATCATCCTAGAAGGGTCACTCATTAAAGGAGTGGATGTTTAGCATGGCTTTGCTGAGAACTTCATTATTTCTCTCCCAAGCAAGCGAGCAAAAAGTGGGGACCTGATTGGACTTGAAAGCTGTGGTAGTGCATCACTGTAAAGCAAAGTAACCCGTTATCGGGTGGGAATGGGAAACCCAATTTATGCCAGGTTCAGGACTGTCCTAAAGCTGCAGACACACACAAATGTGGTATTGTAGTTTATTTGAAACAGAAATTTAGTATAAAATAGAGTATTTTCATGTGTTAGATGTGTGTAAATAGGCTATCTTCTTTAAGAAATTATATTACCCTTAAGAAACTTTTCTTAGACTGAGTGTTCTTGTGTTGAAAATTAGTAGCTTAAACCTGGGGAGACAGAAGGGGGAGAGGAGGCATTGCTACTTGCTCGGAAGGAAGAAGCCAGTCAATATGTAAATATAGCGCAAACTCAGCAGGGCTTTTTCAGGTATTGCGAATGAACACAGCAAGTATCAATATTTAGCCATTGTCATCTCATTCTTAGAAATGCTGTGAATGTATACTGTTTACCATATCGCACATGGTTTCCCTTGTTTGTTTAAAAAAAAATCCAAGCTTTTCATGCATCCAAGCTGTGATTTGTCATAGTTAATCTTTTGTGTAATTTTTATCAGTCAGTACAAGAGATGAATATGAACACTGGACCTGAGGAACTGTTGCACCTCAGAGAGCTCTCTGGGTTCTAATATCTGTTAAATTGTACTGCGCCAGACTATACGTGGGGAATGTTGATAGCTTGATTAGTCAGTTGACCCTTTGTCTGTCACGGTTTTGCTCAAATGACTCCCCATCCCTACCCTAGCTTTGGATTTTGTACTGTGCATAATTTCACTTTTTTCTGTTGAAGAATTTGGTTCATAAGATAAATTGAACTCTATTGCTCTACTTGATAAGCATGTGTTACTGTAGAACCACAAACACTGACTTTGCTTTGATAAGAAACCATATCAACCAGTTTTGAAATGCTGGCATGGTACTCGTCTTCCTTTATTCTAGAGAGTAAGTGTTCCTGGGAGGCATAGGATCATATTGATTTTGAATAATCTAGCTCTAGAAAACACACAAGGCAAGAAGGAGCAATACTTTAAGGCTTCTTTCTTGTACTGTTTCAAACTAGTAATCTGTTAGCAATACAAAAATATCATGAGTGCACAGAAAAACTGGTAGCTTCTGCTCAAATAGAAACTGGATCATTTAAAGCCAATTTGTGGGTGCCATGCAGCAAGTCTACAAGATGTACCATTCCATTTTCTTTTTTGGAGACCAGATCTGGGGAGACTGGGGACATAGTTAACTTAAAACTGCTGTTGGCTTTTAGAGATTGGCTCAACATTTTTTTTTGGTTGTCACTACTTTAATTAATTCTTCAGTGAATGCCTGTGGGTATCACAGATCTTGGGAAGGAGGCACCTGACCAGAATAACAAATGAATTACATTGTAGGTCAGAACTAAAGTGCATTAGAGAAAGCTTTGGTGGAATGCTCTTGTTACATCTTGCTCTCACCCAGAGCAGTTTATACACACATGTATAATATACAGTGTATATTATATACACAGAATGCACAATATACTAGTGTATATTATATATATAATGAAAAGAGTTGAGATCCATAGAAAGCAGGGGGCTTAGAAATTAGGGGGGGGGGGTTTCTCTCTCTCTCTCTCTCCTGCATTTTCCCAACTTCAAAACAATGTTAGAAAATTGGTGTTTTAGTCGCTCCTAACCTGTAGGCAAGGTTTTATAGATCCAGTGAGCTAAAGTGGAGTGGAGTGCACAGTAAAAGAAAAGAAAAGGGAAAAAGGCAGAACAAGAGAGATGGAAGTGAAAAGAAAACTAGACCATACCAAAATGTTGACCTTTGTCAGGCAGCTTTTGGACATTATGGCACTGTAATCCACAACAGAGGGATTCGTTTTACAGGCTGGTACAGTTCATACTCTCTATTTGCAAGCTAATAATGAATATTCACTTTCCTATTATCTTTCTACTGGCCAGTTCTTGTAATAGCATTCACTTTTGTCAGGTGGTTCTGCATGACACTTCCTGGCCAAAGAAAAACAATTATGTGGCATCCATCTTATTGGAAAGTTTTATAATGAATAACTAGAAAAATGTCAGATAAAAATAAAGATGCTTCAGATTATATGAGGGTCTCATATGGATTATACTAGTCTGTGCTGAGTAACTCAGAGTATATCAGTATCTGTATGCATGTACAAATTGGATCATATTCCCCTGCAACTCTAGTTACATACTCTTTCAAACTCGGTCTTCAACAATACATGATGCCTGTGCTAGTTGTAAGGGTGTGGGTAGTTGCTCTGAACTACATGTTGATTTAAGCAAACTACAACTTGTAACAAATATTTGCTTTTCAGACTTTCTGCACCTCCCCTTGCTTGAATTGTCTAAAATCATCCAAAACAGATTGCAGTTCTATATAGAATGAATAGTAGGGTTGTGAAGAATTCATTTGGAAGACTGTGGATAATGCAGTGGGCTTGTGCTAAAAGCCTGCACTTGTGTGCTGCCTCTAATTTAACATTTACAATTTTGGACAGGTGTGGAGTCTTTTTTTTTTTTGGGTGGTAGTGACCGGGCAGTCTCAGTTCAAGCTAACAGGAGATACCTGAGCAGAATATTCAGCAAGAATTTTGAAAAGTCATTGCTGACTTCACTTTTTACATGAACTATAAACCAAGTATCAGAAACCAAATGGCAGTATTATGTGGTACTACTGGTGACTTAGGAAGTTTGAATTTTTTACTCTTTGTAAATCAACATTTTCATGCCCCAGAATGAATCTAGTTCAGTGACACCCACCTTTCTGACCCTGTGGGCGAGTTGAGAGGTAGAGGTTTGGCCCACAGATTGGGCAGGTCCAGCGGTGCAATCTAGTGTGTTAGCCTGGCCCTGTGCACCTGGATCTGGCTGCATGCAGCCCAACCCACATGTCTGGATCTGACTATGCACTGGCATGCAGGGTCACATTATCTGGCCTGCACACTTCCCCATGGGACCAGAAATTTGGCAGCAGAAGAGATGCAGTTAATGCTGCCACCATTCCCCCTCCACCAAATTTCCAGGGGTTGAGCATCCCTGGTCTCGATTATTCCTGAAGTCCTTTCAATCTGTACCATCCGAAGACAGTGATCCTTTTGGTCAGGGATTTATAAGGTTTTTTTTCTTTCTTTCATGAAAGTTATAATTCTTTTTCAGAGCAGTCTGCATCCAGGTGGTTGTGTTTTGAATTTTTTCTAAATATTTATGGCTGATGAAGGAAGGTAGCCTGGACACTGCACCCCACACAGTGTCACGTGTATGTTGGAGAGGCTAGAAAGAGAAGCATCCTTCAAGTCATGTGTAGATGTAGAGAACACTCCATAGTATAAGGGGAAAGGACCACTTACAGGCAGTGCCCTTACATTAAAACATACCTGAGAAATGTAAAGTTCAAGGTGGCTTCATTTTCCCCCCCCCCCAATTAAATTTAAAACCTGTGGCACTTAACTTTTTAACACAACTTCACATTGTTTTGGGGGGGATTTTTGGTTTTTTTAGAAAGTGTTAACTTATATGGGGCTTGTTTGTTTTATTAAGCTTCACATCACAAATAGTATGAGAAGAATAATGTGTCTAATGTTCCCTAATAGGCAATAAAGCATCATAGATGCCCTAAAGTATATTGAAGCAAGAGGCACAGCTGAGTACTTCTGAATTCTAGTAGACTGGCTCTTTGACAACCTTTGGGCGTATGGTTCTTTGTACTGAATGTTTTACTCCTTCGTGTATACATTTTTAGTAGATTACTTTTGATCATTGGAAACTGTGAGAGTCTTCATTTTTCCTGTGAGGTTTACAGAAATCATTGTAACCTGCTAGAGTAGAGAGCAAGCCTATCAGGGTTCTCTTAAACTTAGCACAGTTTTGTATTTCAGTATTAAAGCACCTTCATTGTTTGGGAAATGGAATCTTGAAAAAGACCAAAGCCCTTTTGCAAAAGTATGTATCCAAATTGTCTGTTTCAAATGTCTGAGTCCTGCATAGTAATGTTATGCTAACATTCAGTATAATAGCTTGAAAGAAAGAGTAAGAAAATCAAATGCCTCACTGTGTCTGTACAAAACATGTATTTATAATTCTCTGAAGCTAGTTGGATTTCATTGTGTTTAGTGAAAAATCCACAGCTGTTTGTTCTGCACTATTAGTTACTTTTGTTCAAAATGATCTTTTTAAAATAGCTCTGTGAAGGCATATTTAAGAAATTTCCTTCTTTCAATCAAATGAAGGTGTGCATCTCATAGGAAATTGTTGTATGTTACACTTGAAATGTATGAATGTGCCCTATATAGCTTAAAACAGCCCTAAGTGTCTCCATATTAAGTATATTATTATTTTGTCTTTACATGGTTACTAACTGAATCAGAACTGGATTATTTTCAGGAAGACGATATTAGTAAAAAGTATTGTTATATCAAGCACTTTAACGTACATATCACAAACTGACATGGGTTTTTCAGGTTTTGGAGTACATTTAAATACAGCTTTTCATGCTCTGTTCTTTACAAATAAAACTGTGAGAATAACAATCTGTATCACTGTCTCCTTGCAGAATAGCAACCAAAAGATGCATGTTACAGGTTAGAGTTTGAACTAAAACTGGAACGGAACATAGGGGCTATAAATAAAACACAGGTTGAATGGCACAATCCCATGGATAATCCTCCTGGCATTAGGAGCTCACAGGTATGGTGAATGTGTGTGTCTATTGGCGCATATGTGCATATTTAGCAACTCCAAGCATATAGGTGCAACTGCACTCTTCGATTTCAACACTGAAAATTTTTGCACATCAGAAAAAAGCTTCACTCATGATGAAGCTTTGTTTTTAGCGCACTGATGTTTTTCTAGGCTGTCGCTGGAATGACCACCATGGGTTGTGCTTCCCCTATTCCATGTAGCCCAACATATGCCTTGTGAAGGATGTGATGCAGCGTGACTAGCAGCATCCTAGACTGAGCAGTGGTTCTCGACCAAGGTGCTACCAAATTCTTTGAAGGGTGCAGTGAGGTATGAGGAGATAAGCCGATATGCTAAAGCAGATAATCACAGGCTCAGGCTTGTTCCTGCCTGAGTGATTCCTCAGCCCCATTGCCTAGCCCCTTTGCAAGGGAGTAAACACTGTAATATATAAATTCTTTTTTTTAATTGGGTGCTGCTCAGTTCACAGAAGTTATGGAAGGGCCCTCAAGACTAAAGAAGGGTGCCTTGAATCCAAAAAAGTTGAGAAACCACTGCCCTAGAGTTCATGTTTTTTTCTTCTATTGCTGACCTGCTCAAGTGTTTTGTCCCAAAGGTCAAAGGATTTGTGTGAGACAAAGTTCCACAAACTGTCCAGCTCCATTAGGTATTTTGCCCAAAGCATGCAGAAGAGAGGTAGAGAGCGAGCACTAGCTTAGGGGTCAGCACGGTAGTTGTACACCTGAAAAAGCTGCCCTCTTTTTTTTTTCTTCTTCT